ATGACCTAAGGAAAAAAACAGACCATTTCTTCATCCTTCCCCATTCTCTATCCATTCTCTGATCAGCTGCTTTTCAGGTTTTGTCCCTGCTATAAAACATCCATGTTCTTTTATTTTTTCCTTACCTTGCCCTACTTTCTTAGCCCTAGGGAGGATTTTAAGAAGTTTTTAAAGCTAAGCATTCCCAATTGCTTGAGGCTGTCTTTGGAAGTTAGAATGTGAAGTGATTACCCGTAGGGCAGGGTGTTTTCATGCCAATGTGAAAACACTTAATACATCAGCAGGTAACTGAAAATATTCTCTGCTGTGAGAACATCTACCTCTGATGATTAAACCATTTCTAGGGAGGTTTTATGGGTCATTCACCCTCACATCTTCCTTCCCAGAAGGAGGTGAGTGAATACTCAGACAGCAACAGAGGAGGGGTTAGCTCTGTCTGTGGCCTTACTGTAGATAGGTGTTTTAAGTGTCCCAACTAACAGGATTAAGACTGCCAATTAGAAATCCTGGAAACTACTGCAGTTGCTTTAGTTCAAACAAAGGAAAAAAAATGCAAACTAGTCTTTTCTATTTAATCTTCAATTCTAAGATCCTTGAGAAGTCCTTGTGGGATGTTAGAGCTAAATATTGCCAGAAATTTGGATGCTGCCTCTATTTCTGCAAAGTTTCCATTCAGATCAAGGGTAGAAACCTCTTCCAACACAGTCTTCCACAGGAATACTTATCTGAAGGTAAAATTCAGCATCCAGAACCACGTCCAGATGTGTCCCTGTTCTATAGCAGCATATTAATGCACAAGACAGGAGTATGATAGTGTGCTGCCTGGTGATCAAATGTTTTGCAACATGGTGTGATCACAAATGGGTGGGCTTCAGAGTCAGATCAACCTGGAATCAAATATCATCACTGCTTGATTATGATCAGGGCCACAGGGGACTCTTATGTTCTATTGCTCTTTCCCCACCTTTACTATTTAAGAAACTTATGAAGGAGACACATAGGAACCAGACCAAAGGAAGTAAGTGTCAGCCTCATTATTGATAGCACTGAATGGAGGATGGACCTCCAGACTGGCAGCTAAGTGAGGTCAGTACTTGGTCACTGTCTAAGAAAGATCACCCTAGACACCTGGAACACAGGCCATGCTCTGAAGAAGCCTGCTCATGTTAAAACTAGTGTATGGGTGCGCAGAGAGTATAGGAACTTCCTGGGGACAGTGTGGATTTAAAACAAAAAACTAAAAGCAGAGAGAAAAGTCAAGGAAAGGTCTTGTGCTTTCTCATGTCAAATTCACCAGGAAAGAGAGTGAGTGAAACTTGAAGAGAAAGGCCAGGAATACTGTATAAGAAAACCTGAAATAGAGGAGCAGGGATTATGCCTTAGTAAGTATCATCACATCACTGCACCTTAGAGCAAGTTACTTACATTTATGAACTTCATAATGCATTGTCTATAAAATGGAAATAATACTACCTGAACAGAATGTCAGTGTGTTAACTGCTACCTTCAGGCCTGCCACTAAAAAATACTGACTGTGTTCATCAGCTTCTTCTTACTGTGACAAAATGATTAGGAAACTTAAAAGGAGGAAAGGTTTATGATGGCTTATGATGCGTGAGGTTCTAGTCAATGGTCATTTGGCATTGTTGCTTTGGGCCTTTGGCAGCACAGTACAGCATAGTAGGAGTGTGTGCAGGGGAAATCTGTTCACTTTACAGTGGCTAAGAAGCAAAGAGGAAGAAGAGGAGGAGCTAGGTTCCATGATCCCTTTCAAAGGAAGATCTCAATGACCTAACTTCCTCCCACTAGGCCCCACCTCTTAAAGATCCCACCATCTCCCAGAAGTACTATAAGCTAATAACCAAGCTGAGGACAAAGATTTTAATAAATGGGCCTTTGGTGGACATTCAAAATCCACAATATAGCCTTGGCATATTTTCTCATCTTTCCCTTACTCTCCTATGCCTGCTACATACTAGGTCAGTGTCAATCAAAGATGCCTCTAGACAGAAGACAGTTCATCTCTCTCTTTACTAAGATTAGGGATGGTTAAAAAAGAATAAGAATTATTTTTAAAAATATATGCTCTGCACAGTTTAGCACCCAGACTTTCAAGGCCACTTACCTTTGGAAATGATCAACTTCCAAAATCAGTTATCCCTTTGCAGACAAATAAGCCCATCCTTGTATTCCTTTATACATGCTACCCAAGGGAGAAACATGGCTTTGGTTTTTGTTGCATTTTCATGATAGAGAGGCTCCTAGTTTCAAGGTCAGGAAAAGCTGCCCCTAATTACTGTCTCATCAGTGTTTTGTGGGTGGAGTAGAGACCCTGTGGTTCCCAAGAATATGGAATGCTTGATCCTATCTCCTTCCTTTTATGCTTGGCCAGAAGTTAAAACTTTGCATTCAGAGGCTAAGAAACATCATGGAATGGTCTGACCTTGAAGAAGAGGGAGTAATGTCCTCAGCTGACTATCATACAGATTTCAGAATTCATTGCATACTATGAAGGTTTTGGGATAGTTTAATGAATTTCTCCTTTGCATGTCTAATGCTGATTTGATTATTGTTCTTCTCCACACCTTCCCTGCCTGCTTGCTTCAGCCCATTCTAATGGCATCACTGGCCATGATGTCCTATTTTTGTTGGCATCTCTGAGGGACCTCTTCCTCTCACACCTCATGTCTTAGTAGCAACCCTATTCTGCTGACTCAAAAAATAGAAACTATGGACTTGGTCTTCAATCTGATTGTCATTGCAGAATTCACTTTTGGTAAGACAGTCTCCAGTCTCTCATCCTTCTGGTCTACCTGGGATGGTGTTTTCAGCTCTATGGCTAACACAAGTCAGATCAAACCTCACTTCTGGTCTAGAGCTTCTAGCAGCTTACTGTGTTCATGAACAACATTCAGAATAGCTTAGCCCATCATCCAAGACTTCACAACACCAAATAATCTTTGCCCTCACATCCTCCTGTATGAATCTCAATCCCTGGGCCCTGCATTGGCCTTTGACCCACTGTGTACTTTTGTATCTGAGTATCTTTACCAGAATTGCTCCAGAAACATCCATGCCACTTTTCATCAAAATCCGAGTATGGATTTGTTGTTGTTGTGATGTGTAATAATTGTACATGTTTACAGGGTATGGTGTGATGTTTTGATGGTTGTATATATTTTGTAATAACCAAATCACGGTAACTGATATTTCTGTCACCTCATACACTTACAATTTCTTTGAGGTGAGAACATTCAAAATTCTCTTTGAGCAATTTTGAGACATTCAATACAATATTATAAGCTATAATTTCTTTGCTGTGCAATAATGAGCCAGAATGTGTTCCTCTCACCTAAGTGTAACTTTGTGCCTGTTTAAAATTCTCTTCCTATCATCCGCTCCCCAGCCTCTGGTAACCACTGTTCTACATTCTACTTCTATGAGAATAGCTTCTTTAGATTCCACATATAGAAGGACCATTGAGTAGTTGCCTGTCTGTGCTTGACTTCTTTCACTTATAGCGTCCTTCAGGTCCATCCGTTTTATGGCCAATGACAAGATTATATCTTTTCAATGACTCAGTAGTCTGTTTATCCATTTATCCTTTGGTGAACACTTAGATTGATTCCAAATTGTGCCTTTTAATAAGACCCTACTCAAACCCTACCCTGATAAGGGTCCTTCTGCACACTTGTCACATTCAAACTTATTTTAAGTTAAATGTAGGCCAGTATCTTACTGTGAATTCCTGCCAGATTGGGATTGTTTGTTTCTGAAGCATGTTTATATTGTCTCAAACATACTATTTTTGAAGGGGTCCTCAGTAAACCTCTGGGTTTTACACACATTAGACTTCTGTCTTTTCTGTCTTTCAAGTCCTTTCAAGACACTTTCAATTTCTTTCCCTGTATGTGTAGACTTTAATTATGTGTATTTTTAAAGAAATAAATCACTAGACTTTTTGAAGTTTATTGTCAGTTATTAATTCAAATTTAACAGTAATTAGTCAGAATTTTCTTTCATATTATTAAATCTTTCCATATTTCTGATGATTTAAAGTATTTGTAAATCACATTAAGAGGAGTTAAACTTAGGAATACAAGTTTTGAATGGACTTTCTGGAATAATAGATGAATGTTTCTTGCTTCTGAGAGCCAGTGAGAAAAATTCATTACAAATTTTCCTCTATTTCTAAAATTATGAACATCTGTGAATACGGAAATTGGAAATTTTAGAAAGCTTCTGTATGGCTCAGCCATTGTAGGAAAAGACAACATAGGGATCAGGAGAACAGAATTGAGAACGGTATAGTCTAATCCTCATCACCAATATTTTAAACAACCAATAGACTGGTGTATTTTCAACTCATTCATTATTCAATTAATTATTCATAAAGGCCCCACAGAGTACATTGTACTCAATATTGAAATTATTATTTGAGAACCTCTACCAGAAAATGAAGAAAAGTCAGGATTGCCATAAAGAAATAGTTGGTAAATGTATACAGTATGCAAAAACCTTGCCCTGCGGACCTCAGTAAAATGTACCTGTAATGTACTTCTCCACTCTTTTAGCAATGTCAGAAACTCAGAACTTAATACCGTGCAAATAAGTGAAAAAAGAGTCAAGATTTCTTTTGGAGGAGAAAGTGCAAACATCCATTCATAAAACCATTCATAAGCTTTTTTTAATTTAAATCAACACTGTCATTGTCACAGTCTGTTTGATCTTCCTACTTTGGGTTAATGTGGGAGCCAATTACAGCTTCATCTGTGTAAAATTAACTTTATGGGGCACACACGGGATTTGTCTATCTTCACTATTTAGATATGTGCTATAAAAATATACATGGGATGGAGTGCAAATACTGCAGATGGCAGAGACTTTCAGATTTACTGTAAAATCATTTAAAATCGGTTATGTTCTTGCCAGAAGTTAATTAATTTTTTTCTTTTTTCTGGGGCTGGGGTGGGGGCTCTGGGGGGTGTGGTTCTCACTAGGTGGCAGTGTATGATTACATCAGGAAAAGCCACAGCATCAAGTCCAGTGTTTCCAGCTGTGACCTCCCACATCAAAATGAAACCTCTGTGTCTGCACTTGGTCCAGGAGATACTACTTTTCATGTGTCTGTATACACGGTTTATCCCAGCGGGTTCCAAGAGCTGTTCCGCCATTTTCTCAGACTCCCCAGTGGCGCCATTGTTGAGGTATGTTCATAAGAAAATATTTTGATGCAAATGTTGTATATATTATAGTGCATGGATGTGCATATTTATGTATCTGCATGTGTATGTTTATGCATGATTTCAAAGGCTTCAGTATCACTTCCCAAACATATTATACTAATGTTTCTAATACCACAATGGGCTCTAAGATATATTTTATCTTTTGCCTAAATACACAAAAATACATAAGGAAAAAAAGTTTCTGTTCATAACTATGTTGTAGACAGGGAAAATAACAAATAAAGTGAAATAATCCAGGATTCTGCCTGCAATAACTTTTACACAGGTAACATTTGTAAAGAACAGCAGGTTGAGGATGGGTCTGTGGACACTTCCACACCTCAGGAAGTCTTTGGTTTACATGAGCTCACACAAAATGAAGTGGTGGCATTTCATTTTTCCCATGAGGAAAATCCTTAAAAATATACAATCTCTAAATCTTTAAAACTATTTTTAGACTAGTATTTGGCCAAGATCTTACAGTCTTGCTTCCTCCTAAAAATATCAGTCTTTAGGTGAGCTGATTTAAATTTTAAAAAGTCATATTATATCATATTGTTAAAATCTACACCCACAGCATATTGAAATCTGAGGCTTTACTGCATTAGCATAGGTGTTGAATCAGGAAATATAAAAAGTGTGATCATTTGGTAGAAATGAAAGGCAGAGGAAGGGGAAACTGTAGATATATAACATGTAAATTTAATAGTAGGAAACACAGGACTAGTTGTGAAAAATTGGGGAATATTGTTTGTTCCCTGTGAACTTTCACCATTATTGTTTTTGTTTTGAAGTTGATGAAAACCTTTCCTTATAAGAATTCCTTTCAATATAACCTTAAAGAAATGTCAAATTGTTTAGGGCCCTGTCTTTCAGATAGGCTGCTTCTCCTTTCTGCTATACTAGCTCACAAAATTATCTGAACTCTTGAGAGGTCACACAGGTGCCTCACTGACAGAGGCACAAAGAGGTCAGAAAAGGCTCCTCTCAACTTGCACTACTGCCTCTCTCACCACGGTATTCTAAGAGGAAACTGCATATACTATGGCAAAGCAGCAGATATAATGAGATGATGATTGTATCTAATGAAATTCTTTGGGATTTTGCGTCATGGGCACTTTTCTGCCTGTGAGCTCTTTGAGTGTGAAATATTTGCTTTAGCAACCTTTTTGCAGAACAAACTGCTGGGATTTAATGCTTTTTAAAAATATTAGTATAAGCATATGTTTAAATATGTGTGCACACAGCATACTGAAATAACAAGGAGAGTGGAGATGTCAGGATCCACTTCTTGCTGGAAAATCTTGTATAGCTCTTAGATCCCTGGAGCCTCAGCAGAAAGCCCAGGTTGAACGCAGCGGGGTCTCATGAGCCCAGCGACCATTGTGGTCTATCAGTTCACTCATTCCTCATTTGCTCTGTAACCTTGGCTTAGTCATTTCTCACAATTCTGCCTATTTCCTTATCTGAAACTGGGTTATGAATACTTATACTACCTGGCTCACAGGGATTTGGGGCATATTAATGAGATAACATCTCCAAAGTACTTTTTGCTCCTTTTTTTAATGTACAGTGAGGATGACAAATATTATAGATCATGCACAATTAAATTCATCCAACTTGTAAACATTGCATTGAGTACTAATAATGGCATCGTGTGTGACAAAAAAAACAAAGCAAAACCAAAAATAAAATTAAGCTCACTTCTGAAGACCTGAGTGGTGAGGAAAGAGGGACGAATGACTGTCTCAGTCTTTTACTGCCGCCATTTTCAATATGATTGCCCACTACAAGGTAAATGGTGGGTGTGTTCCTGGACACTGGGGGACTTTCCCCAATGAACATTCCAGCAAGTAATAAACTGACTTTTCCTTTTTTCAAGTTTCAGCAAAAGCCAGTGTCTTGCCCACTCTTGGGCCTATAGTTCAAACCTATTCATTTATTTCTTCCTGCTTTACTTTATCTGCTTTTTTTTTTTCTATGAAATCTACAAAATCCATTTTAAACTGAACTGTCCCTCTTTAATTTTCTCTAACACTTATCAGGACTACTAGATTTTGTTATTTTAGTCTTTCTAAATTAACGTCCAGTATTACCTTGTGACTTCCAGAGGCCAGGACCCATAAAATATTACTGGTCCCAGAGCAAATTAAGGATTAGGCAAATCAACTTTCAGGCACTTATCTGGCTATTTAGCGGAGTTCCCACTTTCCTGACTCCTACCAGGAACTGCCAGGACTGTAATTGGCCTTCTAAGGTCCAGAACCTGAAAATGAAAGAGACTGGAGACTGGTGCTTTGGAACTCAACTAGAAACAAAGCCTAATATATTATCTTTCCTAAGATATACGTATTGTAAATGCATTTCAAATAGCCCTTTAAGTTTTAAAATAATGGTTTATACACAGTCACCTACTTGCCTTAAACTTAAGTTCAACCTTTGAATTTCCTTTGTATCAAGAACAGAATCGATGGTCAAATTATCAAATTGACATTGAAATTTTGTATCAAATTGTAATTTTGGGTTCCCAAAATATGCTACCTGATTAGTAGTTTGGCACCCTGCGACCCTCACCATCAATGCCCATTTTATTTTACTTAAGGTAATCTGAATTTAGAATGTGATTTAAACCAACTTAGTGATACTGGTGAGCTCTATACCACATTTTGGTCAGATATTCTGATACTGGGATAAATAGGCATCAGAGTCTGGGCCTAATTTATTTACAAATTAGATCTGGCAAGAAATATGAAACACAAATGCAATTGTGCTTCACCTCTGTAACCAGAACTCCATTCTCTAAGGTTTTATGGTGTGTTTTTTTAAAAATAGGTTCCCTAGTTATCTAAATTTCTTTTATATTTAACACATCTTCACTTGTCATTAATGATATCCAATCCTTTCCTAATTCAAATATGAAATATAGGTCAGATATTAACCTTTCCCCTTTTTATTCTCAATAAAACCTTAGCCTTTGGACTCAGAAGCAAATTATCTTCAAATGTTTATTTGCATGGAAAGCTATGCTTTTGAAAAGTGAGTTTCTGTACAATAGAGGTCAGAGTCGGTGCATCTGAAATAGAAACTATATTGCAAACATTATTTTCCATAGGCATGTTTTGCATGCAGGCGTGTGGCCTAGGATGACACAGCTCGTACGGTGTTATACTGCACATTATTTTGGTTTTTTAAAAACCCCTTTTGTCTACTTCCAGAAAGGGTCCTGCGTGCACAGCTTGGGAACATCTCTCCTTCATTGTTTATTCTGCCTCCCTGGACTACACAGATTCTGAGTGTTTGCAGAGCAACGCTTTGTCTCTTTGCTGGATGGGTACGGTTACCTTGAGGTGTTCTGTAAGAACAAAGTTATTGTAAAGTTTTTAGTGCTACAAAACCTAGAAACCCAGGCAAGACTGGTGCAGATTCATCAAGTTACAAATAAGCTTCCGGATCCCAGGGTATCAGCCGCAATTAAGAAAGTCCTTGGAGCATTCCTTGGGCGGAATGGGAAAACGTTTTTTTGTCATTAGAGGCAGTGTCGCCTGGTGGTCTGAGCAGGGACCTGGGAGCCAGGAACTGGAGATCTAAGGAGGTTGAGCGAAGCCCTCCTGCGCTGCGCGTCTTTAGGCGAGCAACTTGGTCTCGGGAGGCCGACCTCACCTACTTTGAATCTCCCATCTGAAGAACTCCTTACCCAGGGCCAGGGGATACACAGCAGGAAGCCTGATTCCTTGTCTGCAAAATTAGAATATTAATACTTGCCTAAATAACAGATTAACCAATTAGTGATTAAGTGATGGAAAGCAGCAGGAGAAGAAAGGAGAAAACGCAAACCCCAAACACAATTTTATTCTTGATGGGTTTTACTCAGCTCTGGAGTTTACCGCTGAGCAGGGAATCGGGCCCCATAGAGGGCACAGAACAGGTGTAGAGAGACTCAGCCTTCGATTTTCTTCCCTCAATGTGAAGGTCGCACATGAAGCGCACTATCCTTGGGAATGCAAGAAGCTCTGGGGGAATGGGGAGGGGAACCATACTTTGTCCTTGGATCAGTGAATTGCAGGGCAAAATCTTATATGAATGATTGAGAGTTTGCTGCTTTATTTTTTTTTTCTAGAAAAGACTATTTAGTATATTTGGAAATTCTCCTATTTTCTACAAATAACCAATTTTCTGTATGCCTGTGTATGTGGATGACAGAGAAGGGAGAGAGCAGTGTAGGATGATTTGAAACAGAATCGTTAGGAAAATACAAAAACGCGAGGCCTAGAGAGAGCATTCCTTCAGTGGATGCAAATTGTTGATATCTTTTATTTTCAGGGAGAAAATTACTCCATTTGTTTTCCTTTTGTTGAAAGTCGCCATACCTGAGAAAGCAAAGTCACCCTGTGTGCATTCTCATGGTGCATAGTTTTAGGCTGCTCCGAACACAAAACTAATTCAATTACACAAAAATGGAAGAAAGTCACATTTTCATTGTACGTATTTAGAATACTTGACCTTCTGTGCACAGCACTTGTGCACGAAGATGCAGTATGTCTGTCCTGTGAGCATGCTTTGCTATCACGATAAGATCCAAAATACACATTCAAAGGAAATAGCGCTAGCAATGCTGATGACTTCGCATAAAATATTGCTAAAAATGTCAAATACACTGCTGTGTTTTATTTCTGGCTTTGAAAGTTTGATAGTTGCCATGTCTATTGATTTTTTGAAATAAGGTCCAGATACTATTCTGCCTATTTTTTTAAAAAGAACGGTTGTCTATTTTAATGAAACCATAAAGAATTACCATTTTGTTAAATCTGAAATCTAGATCCTATTATAAGCAACAGTTTTTATAAGAGTACAAAAGCAAAATAGAAATCAATTATTAGAATAGTATTAGAATATAATGCTAATTACATTTTCCTGACACATTACAATGAAAAGTCTTAGGTAGACATTATTCGCAGTTATATCTAATATGAGCTGTATGGATTTGGCTTTCCTTAAAACTAGACAAAATTATTATTCCCGTACATGTGTCAAAATAGATCATATTATCTGTCCATAATAATTAGGTCAGTATGACTTGCTTTGAAATGCTCAGCTTCCCACAAAAACTAAAGAAAAAAACCTCCCACCTCTGGCTTCATCTATCATTTTATACCTAGTATTGGTAAACTACAGTTGAAAATTAATTTTGTTTTTAAACCTAGCATACTGTAAATGTTAAATGATGTAGCAGATTTCAGGTATTTAAAAAAATACATTTACTTTTTAAAACCTACTCCAATCATAAGGCAAAAAAATATTAACTCTTAATGACTAAGTTAATTTTACTATATCTACGTGTGGTTCCCTTAGAAAATCATGAAGAACTGTTTTGATTCCATTTATCGTATATTGAAATGTGATTGCTTAAATGTTTTTAAATATTCTATAGATCTTTCCTAAAATAACTAATATTGCCAAACTTATAAAATGCTAACTTTCTCTTTAATTCATTTGTATTCATAGTTTGAGACAATCAATCATTAGCTATACCTGCTTTATATGGATTGTACATTTTAATTTATGCACATAAAAATGATTGGATCCTTTTATTTTGGAAATGCTTTTACACATAAAAAATTTGCAGTTTTACATTTCCTTTGACTCTCCAAATAATTAGAACTTATGAAAGCTAGAAAAGCATTATTCCATCATTGTATCATGTCTACCACAAATGATAGATAAACATACGATAGACTAGATAAGAAAACTTTCCTTGGATTCTAAATCATAGAAAATGTCTTAAATGTCTTAGAAAGTATATTAAGTGCAAAGAAACGGTGCAAAAATGGGTCTTGGAATATGAACTGGAATATATGGTTAAATGAAATGTTTAATATAGTTACATAGAAGTGAATAATTAAGTCTTTATTGCACAATTGCTATAGGTTGAATGTTTTAATTTGAATACAAATATTTTTTCTTTTAATTCTGTATCTTTTTCTCTCTTAATGAATTAGATTTTACAAAAGATATTTTACAGGGGACTTAAACACAAAAAGCATTCATGCTTCTTTTCATCTATTAATGTAAATTTATTACAATGTTTGGAAATTTTTGAGTTTCTGCATTATAAAGAAATTTGAAATCCATGCATTCAAAAGTCAATGTTTCAGATAAGCATTTTCAGACTATGTGATGTTTGTCTTTGTTTGACAAGGCTGCCTGATACTGGTTAATGAAAATATCAAAGATGATTCAATAATAGGGACTAAAAAGAATATAAGACAAATAACCTTGAATTATTTATATCTTCTTATAGTCATGCACAGAAATACTACGAAAGTATTTCCGTGTATTTTGCAAATGTGTCAATAAATAAGAACTATCTACAAATATATTGATTTCTTTACTATTAACTTCTCCACTTTAACTTAGGAACAAATTTTCCATAATGATTTGAAACAATTATTTAATGATAATATGAGAAACCCAAAATACAAATAATTTTTAGAGCAAAATAAAAGATAGAAGGTAGGAAAGGGAGTTGGACTTTGTGGGGATGGGCAGGGGAACTGGAGATGCGGGGAGATGGGGGAGCAGATATGGGAAGGGGATATAAAAATGATTAAGATGCAATTCGCATATCACCAGTTCCCCGAGATGAATACAGTCATTAAGTGTGACCAACACACTCGTAAAACGAACTAAAAAAAGAAGAAAAAACCTATAGTTGCTTAGCAGCAGTTAATTTTACATGTGTATCCTATGAATTGTTTTTAATTTCACATTTTGGAAATACTGATATAAAATCATATAAATTTGTGTGCAAAATCATATAATATGCTGAATGACACAAAGAGAGTGAAGTAGTAACAGTAGCTTATTTCTGAAGCAATCTTGACACTAATGCTAAATTACAACTTGGGAACATCTAGCATTTTTACCTTTATGAGAAAAGGCTTTTTACATATTTAACATAATTCCAGGGAAAATAAACTGGAATTATGTATAAAGATATGTACACTGTAACCAAGGGGCATTTATATTCCCCTGTAGAATACTTACAATGATTTTATTGCCATTTTGTGTCATTTTCTAAAGGATATAAAATACAGCCAGTAAACAAACTAGACTTTAGATTTAAGGTGACAGCCACTCCTTCAGAAGAAATATTCAGATATTTAATCTTAAGAACGTTGAATATTTTACAGCCAAGTAAAGTATGCTTTTGCAAAAATGAAAGGACTGTGTGCTTAGGCTTCTAATTTTCGCAGCTGTGATGATCAACTCAGTCACTACTACTTACACCCATCATCACTAATTCCTAAAGAATAAATCCAAATCCTGGCCCTTTGCTCTTCAACTACTTGAGGAGAATGAATGCAAGTCTGCTACTATTTTCAAAACCCAAACATTCTTTCTCTAAAATGTTGATTCAGCCTGTAACTTAGAGTGTCATATTATTTCTAGGTCTAGTTTTGAAATCTACAGTTTTAAACTAATTTAATAGACTCTTTACCCCTAGTTCAGACTGTTGTGCCTCAGATACACATCTAAATTTCATGGAGAAGAACTTGACCTTCATATCAGAACCATAATAGGTTTTACTATAGGTCTCCAAATATTGCTGACTTGCTGCTATGTGTGAATTAGTGCTATGAGTATATAAGTCCTGTATTAAGTGGGCAAATGAAATCAAAATGTACTTCTGGAATGTATTTTCCATTTTATCCTTCCCCCTCTTCATTCCCTGGACTGTTTATAATGGTCTCTCCGTGAAACTTTATCAATATTTTCTATTTGGCAGCTGAATATGATCTATCGCACCAGCCTTATTGTAAATAATCTCAATCTCATTTTTCCATTTAGAAATGTGAGGATATTCTTACTCATATTAGCAAGCACTTAACTGCTCTTTTCTGAGACTGCTTTAGCCAGAAAAGTTCTGAGGAATCCAGATACTTCTTTACACTGTGAAGGGCCAGCCTTGCTTCAAGCACAAGACTGAAGGAGCTACATGTACTGTGAGCTGATCAGCCATGGTGTCCACCAAATGCTAGCTTTGAGTGGCCTGAGAGATGCTTGTCTGTGTCTGCAGTTATAATTTTCTTGTCACATTGCCTGAGAGTCACACACTAGCATTGTGCTTGCGTTTTATTTGTTCACAATCATAAACTCTAAAACTGCAGTGCTAGAATCCTGAGTCAAATCCTCAGTGGCTTTAGCCTCAGCCACACTAGTTTTCCTCCAAAAAAAATCTTGTTCTGACAATTTTTGCCCATTTTTGTTGTTGTTACTCTTATGATGGGGGTGGAATTTATAGTTCTGTACTCTGTCACACTAATTGGTGCCCTATTATTTCTTAAAGGTAGATCCTGATAGTGGAATTACTAAGTCAAAGAATGTGAGAATCTAAAAGCATAGAGTAGTAATTCTGGCTTGCACTTTTAGACAGCCTAGATAAGAAAGCAGGGAATGGGCCTCAATACATGTCATGGTGTCTAGAATGTGTCCCAGCAAATCTAGATTTTTAAAAGATCATGTACAAAGGTATAGAACGGATAGAATATATAATAAGTGTAAGAGATTGGAGGATGACAGGGGAGAAAGTGAAGGCAAGGGCCTACATTTCAAGAATCCGGGGGGAAAAGTGAACCCTGAGAAGGCCTGGCAGGACAGATTCAACAACAAGAAAATCGTGGAGTCTGTGATTATTTATATTCTCGATACAATTTAGTTGTGTTTACCAAACACCTAACATGTTCTTCTTTATCATGAATGATATTTATTAGCCCAAATAAATTGGAATCATCCTAGCTATTCTGATGAGATGGCTGAATTCAGGATGTCAAAATGTGTGATCAAATCTCTTCTCTCTATCTTCATTCTTGAGAGTGTTTTCTCCATATGTTAGCATCATACCAGACTTTATTATTCCTGTTTCTCACTAACTTAGAGGGAGATTTTGTTTTCCTAGTTTTCAATCAGTAGCTTTATCTCCATTTGCCCACCCTGGAGAGAGGCTTTGTGACTGGCTAGGTCCATGATTCATAGGTTCATTAGGAGATGGAGGATTCATTCTAGAAAGAGAAGATGGCTTCTGTAACCAAAGAAGAGCTTGTCCTATAAGCAGATGTTCTTTTGGCTGTCTAGAAAAACGCATTCAGTTTGGCAATTTATATGGAGAGGGGGTTCCCTGCCTTTCTCATGTGGATGGCTCTCGGTTCAAGAGGTCATAATTTCTGGGGGCAAACAGATCTTCTGCAGAATGCTCAGAAATGTTAGATACCTTCAAGATGTTGAAGAGAGACATGAAGTCAGAGGAATTGGTGGTTATTACAAACAATCCAGGAATAAACCGAAACTGTGTGTGACACGTGGAACAGGCTGTTGGCATGACTGCAAGTTGTGCTCCAGAGGAATTAGTCTTTTATATACAGAAACTTCTCTGGGGACAATGAGTTCATACCAAAAGGAATGTGACACTGCGTGTGCTCCCAAAGTTTTTGTTTTCTATATACCCCATCAAACAGAAGTTATTAAAAGCAAAAAAGAGAATTCCAGTTTTGTGTTTGATTTTGGCATTTTTTTATTTCAGTGAAATTAGAAAAATTCACTCTTCAAATATATTTTAATTGCTTCTTATGACCCTGTGTTCTGTACTACTAAATATATACACACATCACTTTATTATTTGGTTGTTATAAAATTATTGTACAGGTCATAAATGAAACTGAACCATAAAGCCTAAATTATACTCTTCTATGAAACTGCAGAATTTGGTTGACAACATAGCATTTGGGGGAATTTCCAAACTATAATTTTTTTCCCAAGTGGGGAAAAAAACAGCTTTTGGTCACTCTACCTAAATATTTCTTTGAAACACGGTGAATTAGCACGTGCTCATTTTGTCACCACTTCTCAGGTGTTTGGCGATATCAGTGCCTTACAGTCTGTCCCCAGGGAAGTGACTGCAACTATTCAAGAGCACATAAGTGAAATGGACACAGTACTCAGGGACTGCTGCACTACAGACTCGAGACACGAAAGGATCCAGTAAAGTAAAAAGGTATTTTCCCAGCAGGTTAAGCACTCAACTCATTGCTGTAGGTGAGTGCATCCACTAAGGAGGAGCCACCAAGTGTCATCCCCTTGTTTTCCCAAGGTTCCACCATAGTGCACAAGTCACAGTGAAAGGACTAAGCTCAATTTCTGCTTCAGTCCTTCTGCCTTATGAGGAAGGAGTTGTCCAGAAGTCAGCCATGGGTATTAGAACAGCCAGAAGTTACAACCAGGGCAAATACTTTTTTCAGAGAGGACGGAATGCACTTTCATTCTTCTTAGTCAGGGGAGCTACTTAGTCACTCTGGAATTTGGAGAGAAGCAGATGCCATTTTTAACATTCTTTCCCAGGTGTCTTCTATGGTGCAGTGGGAATTAGGGGCATAGCTAGAGAGTAAAATCTAAAATAAATCCTATCTCCCCCTCTCACATAGCTGGACATTTTCACATATTTTTTCTTAAAACAAATTTCAAGCAAAAAATGAAAAGAAAATTAATATCAACAACTCGTCAAATCACTTAAGTTGGTTTGCAGAGCATGTTTGTATTCTAAAATAACAACACCCAAGACCAAACTGGGTGGCTTGGATTTGGGGTTCATATTCACTTCAGCTCTTTCTAAAAGAGTCTGCTTAACACTCCTTTCTTTGTAGTCCTTCCATAACCACTTTTTTTCTTTACTCCTTCACTTCTATTTGCTGAAAGTTTAGATCGAGATTTATCACCACAAATGGGCATCAAAGAGTCGATGGGTCATTAAAAATCTGGCATCATTATGAATCCTTGCTTTCATTATAGAACAATAAATACATGATATCTAGATACACTGACCTTCTTCTCCACCTACAGGGAAGGGTGAGCCAGTATTCCTTCAGCCACATCTCTCATATAGAAGGCGGTGCTTGTGATAAGGGTCAAAATGGAAACCTGTGACAGAAAACACATAATCACAACCAATCTTGGTGGTTTTTCAGGTCCTGCTTTTTATCATCATCTAACAATTTTGATATCCACAGTCTAACATGAAAAGTTCACATCACAGATTACATTTCACGGTCCTTCTTCTGGCAGAAATGATCATATCCATGTACTCTGTATTTTTATCTTCTATGGCTATTCTGAAGGCCAACCAACATACAGTAATATCTGTCAATAGATTCCCACCTTTGCAGCAACTACTGAGCGCTTGTTCTAAACGTACTTTAATATAGTCTGTAGCACCTTCCCACTGCAGGTACCTGGAATTCTCCTTCATTAACTGTCACCCTCACTGACCCTCTGGCCTCCTCTCTTACAGATATGATTGCTCCTAGCTCACATCACAGATGCTTACCTCCTCTCACCAGTTCTGTATTCCGCACTTTTGTTTTTCCCACTAGAGCATGAGTTTACTGCAGAGAACTCTTAAAGATGTGTCTGTGGGCCGAGGATTTAGCTCAGTGGTTTCGCTGCCTGCTGCGCAAGCGCAAGGACCCGAGTTCAATCTCCGGTACAAAAAAAAAAAAAAAAAAAAAGATGTGTCTGAATAAACAGAAAGTAGGCTAGGGCCAGATACTACACAGAGGTTCATTCAACACTTGCTGTTGGAAAAAAGGAGTGAAGGCGATGCAGGTGAGAGATTAATACCAGGGTTTTACTGTGCAACATAAATATTTTATTTATTTACAACATAAATAAAGCCAAACAAATGAAAACCATGTGGGGCCATATATACTAAGGCAAATTCCGTGCTAGACCTGTACCAGGACAGAATATATTGAGAAGGAATCAAGTTGCACATCCAAGAGGATTTCTGCATCTCAGCCCTGTTTTACTTCATTATTGGGTCGAGTTGATAAATCAAATTTAATTGAACAAGTGCTATGAGTTTTACAGAGTTGTTACTAGGTTAACTAGGTTGATGTAAATACTTGGAGATTTGTAGATCTATCACTTCTTTTACTTTCCTCACTAAAACTTAAGCTTTATGAGGGCAGGAAACATTTTGTACTTTATCTACTCTTACCTGCCCAATTCCTAATACTGTATTTTAAGCTAGTAAGTGCTCATTACATTTCTGTTGAATGAAAACATAAATTAATTTATCAAATTTCAACTAATTTTATCCTGAATGAGCTATGTGACTGTGAATTGAATGAACAAAAAAGAGACCAGAAATAACTGATTTTTTTTTCGCTTTTTCATATTTTCGTTTAGAAAATTGGTGGTCCCAATGGAAGGATGAGTATAACTAAGAAGACCAGTATTTTCTGCCTTCTGATGGAGGTCAAGGGACATGCTCAGTCCCTTAATCTAAGGTGTCTTCTAATACATTATTGCAGAGCATGAGTTTTTCAGTATTTTAAAATACATCTGTAGAGTGTTTTGTTGCTGTTTTCACTTCGTATTTGTTTTCCCTGTCACTGAACCTATCTTACTGAATAATAAAGATTAAGTAATAGGTTCAGCACCTGAGTTTGTGTAAGAGTTTTATTCTGTATTTCTATAGGTGTGTGGTGGATAGAGATTTCCTAACGTGCTCGCATGAGTCCTCTCTTCTTGTTGAAAAGAACCTTTCTGAAGTTCCTTGGCTCATTGCTATAACCCAGTCCAACACTGGATTTTTGGTACATCTGAAATAAACAGTGTGTTAGCATTAGCGTTGAAAAAGCTATTTAATTTTGGCCTTTCTTTTCTCATGTGTCTGTGTATTTTTTGAAGAAAAATATTTATTCTCTTTTTCCAAAGATATTTTACAAAAATGCTAATTTGTTTTATTAGTTTCTTTTTGTTCATTGAAAATAAAGTTTTGTCCTTTTATTTGTTCTTTTTTTTTCTTCTTTGTAAGAGAGTCATTTTTTTTATTTATGACTTACCCTTGGAGTAACATTTTGGTCATTCTTTTAAGATCATGATACATAGTATATTAACTCTTGTTATTCTCTAACTATTTTGTTATGAAATTTTGTTTTATTTTTTCATGGAAGTAAAAGGAGTGCTTTTTATATTTTCTTTATTAACATCTACTTGTACTATATTAAAAAAAATTTTTAATTTTAAAAGAAAAATAGAGAAAAAAGGGAAGTCTTTATTCTTATAACCAGTTCCTTTCATTTTCTGTAGCCCTTTATGAACTGCATAGAATAATTCCATGGACAAAAAGATGAAAACAGCCTTTCTAAGCAGATCTCAGTAAAAGCTAATTGTAAGGTGACAGGTACCAGTGTAAAATCCTTTTAGGTAGCAGTCTGCATATTTACACACAGTGAATAGTACTATTTTTAAAATTCAAGTTAAACTTTCGGAGAACTATACACGTGTGAATGCAATCACCAGGTTATTTTTTCAGTGTATTGAGGATAGTTTATAATGCTAATAATTATTTTGCAGGACTCTGCTAGTAAAACAATTCCTATAAACTCATGCGCATGTTTTCAGTGATTCCCTAAGTAACTTCGTCTCTAGGAGTATAGCTGGTTACTAATTGATGTGTCATGCACACTGATATTTTTCTCACATAAAGATAATACACAATGTTAAATGTGATTATAATTGAAACTGTAAATAAAAAATCATTTAATAGCTCTATTTTTGCTACTACCTACTGTGTTCTTATTGTAGATGATTCATTTGGATTTCAGTTCTATTAGGAATAAAAATATAAATAAGGAGTTAAAATGTAAATGCTTGCTATAAATTTCAAAGTGAAATCTATTAAATGTTCCTTGCATTAACTTTAGTGACAATAGATAGATTATGCTAAGTGTCAGTTAAGCGGAGGGATGAAAAATGAGTGATTTTCTTCCTTCGGTTAAATATGGTGCTAAGTGGTCTGCACTAGCATTAAAAGCAAATTACTTATCACTTCAATAATCACAGCATGAGAGTATTCTACTGGAAGCTGTATTCCAGTCTTCATTGGTTCTCAGTTTTATTAAATAAATCAACTGACAATGCTTGGGTAAGTAGAAGAAAAAGCCTTGATGGTGTTATGGCATTTCTGTTTCATAAGTGCTTATTCAAGATGTCTTCAAACTGGTATTTTCTCTATCTGTCAGTTACTAAGAATCCACACACTGAGCATTATGCATACAGCACACAGGCTCCTCCAGTCCTGCCACCTGCGTGAAGGACAAATCTTTTCCATTGCATCACTCCAGTGGGCCTTTCGCTTAATTTTAAACACGGTGAGAGATGAGAGAAACAATTATTCCAAATGAAAAGTCCACCATGAGAAAATCCTGCCTATAGTCAGAAATAGCTGCTGCTGTGTTTCGGATGCTTGTGTGAGCCTGCTTAATATAGCAATGAAGAAGCTTGGCAAACGGGAGATACTAACTAAACAGCTGCTCACTGAGGAAAATAAAGGAAACCTGGCCTTTTGTTTTAAAATCTTCATTCTTTATTTTCATTTCAGTGCATTTTACACATTTTCCTTCTTGTGCCTGGTGAAGAGGTAGGGTGCAGCGATAGTGGAGACACTCAGGGGTGAAGAAGAGACCCTCAGTACTACCGCTAGGGATCCAGGGAAGGTTCTGTTGCCCCCCAACACACACAGTAATTTTTTATATATTCTACCAATACTCACATTGTTTTAGACAGGATCAAATATATACTTATATATGTTATATACATATATTATATATATTGCATGGTGGTTTATAGCATGAACACAGGGATCTGTAAGATGGAGGGTCTGTTTGCTCCCAGACATTTGCAGCTACCAGGTTAGATCAGAATTGAGAGAAACTAAATCTGTTGAGATCCTGAGAGAAGCAGGAATGCTTTCCTAAAATGACATGAATTCCTTAAAGATAAACTACTCAATGTCTAGGCCAAAACAGGCACTCAGTCATTATTGGATAAATAACTGGATGGATGAATGAGACAGATGCCACAGCACAGTGGTTGAGAGCGAATCCAGCATAAAATCCTGCTCTAAAGCTTATGGGGTAAGCTACCTGAAGAAGTCTTTCACCGCCCTGAGATGTCAAGCAGTGTGCGTGAGTCCAGTGATGT